GAGATGGCGTTAAGCCAGAAGATAGCAAGATCGCAGCGATTAGAGATTGGCCCACGCCACGTACGCTGACAGAGTTGCGCTCGTTCCTGGGCTTAGCAAATTACTACAGGAAGTTCGTGAGGAACTTCTCCACCATCGCTGCGCCCCTTCRCADAYTGCTAAGAAAAGAGACAATCTGGAAGTGGGACAAGGACTGCACGTCTGCCATGAAGAAGCTAAAGCAGGCGTTGATAGAGTACCCGGTCCTTAAGGTCGTCGATCCATCCTTGCCTTTTGTCGTTACTACGGATGCTAGCCAGTACGGCATAGGCGCAGTGTTACAGCAAGACGATGGCAATGGGTATAGACCCGTAGAGTTCATGTCCGCTAGAATGCCTTCAGAGAAGGTCGCGAYATCYRCCTAYGAGAGGGAACTCTACGCTCTCAGGCAAGCCTTAGACCACTGGAAGCACTACTTGCTTGGGAGGCACTTCAAAGTCTATTCTGACCATGAAACGTTACGATGGTTAAAGACGCAGGCCAAGATGACACCTACGCTTACTAGGTGGGCCGCAGAGATAGATCAGTATGACTTTGAGCTCAAGCCTGTCAAAGGGAAGTACAACGTAGTCGCGGATCCTCTGAGTAGAAGAGCTGATTATTTTGGGGCAATAGTACATTACCTCGATATAGGAAAGGATCTGCAGCAGCAGGTTATGGAAGCCTACGCGCAGGACCCTATCCATGGTGAGCTCCTTAAGAAAGTCAAGGAGGCCCCAGAGACCGAGCCGAACAACCGCACTACTGAAGGGTTGCTTTTTGAGAAGACTAATGTTTTTGACCGATTATGCATCCCCAATAGCAAACAGATCCGCAGTCTAATCCTGGGAGAATGCCATGACACGGAGGGTCATTTTGGTTGGCAAAAGACCTTAGCCAATCTGATGCGCGCGTATACCGGGCCAGGGATGAAGAATGACTGCGTAGAGTATGTTCGCAGTTGTAAGGTCTGCCAGCGTAAGTCTTCTACGCGTGCCCCGTTAGGTCTTCTCAGACCCTTGCCCATTCCGGATCAG